CTATATCGTCTAAACATTTATGTTTTCATGTTATAATTTATGTTCATTCTAGAATGAAAGATGCATAATTTATGTTTATTTCCTAATTTTTTATGGTGGTTGTAAGGTCAGACAAATTTACCAAACCCACACAGAGATTAATTACTAAAAATAACAGATAAAAATATAAAGTTTTTCTTAAGAAACATTTGATAACTATTTGGACATTATAAAGATTTCGCATATGAAATTTCAAAATTTTCTTATGCATAAAAGTATTTTTATGTTAAGATAAAAATTACTTTACATGATAGATAGGCAAGATGTGAAAAGAAAAAAATGCATGAGAGAAACATTGCTTTACAAACCTTAAGACTTAATAAAAAAATTTTGATATTTTGTATATGAAAGCATTGTAATGTTTACTGATAATCTGCCAAATTTTGTTAACATTCGCTTACTAATTTAAAAGTTATAGCATGAAAACTATAACAAGCACAAAATGGTTACGAGGTCGGTCCCAGGGACTGAGCCCGTGCTGAAAGAGTTAATGAAGAATTATGTATGTAATGTTAATTTTATATATATACAAGACAATCAGTTCATACAATGCTAAATAAGAGTTTAGCATACAAGAATTGGACTAATCTTAAAAATTGATTTTGAAGGCAAGTCACATTTAGATTTAATGTAAAAAAGGTACTGCTACTTATGTGAATATAGAACTATTTGAGAAAAATTAAAAATTTTGTACTTTTGTATATATTTTCTAATATTAACCTATTAATATTAAATGTACTTCCAATCTTTATTACGCACTTAGAGAGAGTAAGAGAGATAACATCAGAAACAGATATTATCCTCAAGGGATGATAGCTTTTAAAAAAATATATACTTATACTTTAGAATGGGCAGAAAAATTCTGAAAAAAAAAAATTGCCAATGTTTACAGGCAAGACACTTTCCTCAGAGCCGCACAGAGGTGTAAGTTTATTTCCTACAGAACTACACGAAATGTTAAAACTGATAAAATATCAATTCTAAAATATTTCCGAATTTAAATTGTTGAAATAAGAGTTAGAATTATAACTTTTACTTAATAGACAGATGTGCACTTATTTTTACAGGTTAAGATAAGTTTGTGTCCCAGGTAATCACACATATAAAACTTCTGTAACATTATATCAGAACTTAAATTTCCAATATACATACAGAATGTAAATGGAAAGATCAAACATAAGGCACACACACACACACACACACAAAGAAAAAAAAGATTTAAAACTTACCGACCGACCCTCCTGTAGACAACTGACAAAATTCATACAATCCGTCAAATACCGGGCAGTCTTCACCCACATTAACTGCAAGGAAACATATTCAAAAATACATTACTCATTTACAATAACAAACATTTAAAACATTTTGCATGATGGACAATTTTTTAATACAGCTAACACAATAAAACATTCAAATATAATAATCTAATGCAAGGTTCAGGATGGAGGCTACCTTCTTGGGACTTCATGTCAGCTGAGGGCCCTGGGTTTGGTCAGGAAAGATTTCCTCACATTGTTATATTGGTGCCCAATGTGGGGTCATCAAACCATATGTGTACATCTTGGCAATTTGGTGATCTGATATGCTTTGTGTGTTGTAGGCTTGAGGAAAAGAAACACTGTTTGAGTGGTGGTAGGTTCCGGTAATGGTCAAGATGGGGGTATATGCTAGAAACTTGAGCCCTAGCAGCTTAGTTGGAAGTACACTGTTTGAGTGGTGGTAGGTTCTGGTAATGGTCAAGATGGGGGGTATATGCTAGAAACTTGAGCCCTAGCAGCTTAGTTGGAAGCACACTGGTCTAAGGAATAAAAGCCACTTTACAAAAAAGGTAAAAAAGTGTCTCCTTTGAAGAGGTTAAAAGCTTTTAGTTCCCTAGAAAAGCTATTTCAAGCTGTCTATGACTTCTCTTATTCCATTAAAAAGAGTTATAGCATTTTACTTCATTTAAAAAACGATTTTAATCAGTCTGAATGCATTGCATTCCACTACGAAAAAATTTTCAGGCTCTCCCCCTTGATTGGTATTAGAGTCACTTAGTTCATTACAAAAGTAATTTAAAGCTAATTTGAGTCACCCCTAAAATGAATTACAGCCTCTTACTTCTCTTGAAATGGCATTTCACATTGTCAATATCTTATTTCATCAAGAAAACTATTTCAATCTGTCAACAGGTGTCTCTTTTGATGGTGTTAAAGTCACTTTTTCATTCAGAAAGTTAATTTAATTTATATATATATCCTCTTGGCAGTTATCTGTTTTGTTTATCTTTAGAAACTCTTTAATTTGTTTAGAAAGTTACAATTTTCAGCTTTCATTAGGTGTCTTTCTCATAAAGAAAAGAAAGAGATAAAGCTTCTTCAAGCTGTTTGTAAGCAACTCTTTGGAAGGAATTACAAGCTCTCATTTTACTTAGAAAATGTCCATGTTTTTTTTGTAGGAAGTTAGACCCTCATAATTTCAAGCTGTTTACTGATGTATTTTTTTGAAAGAATTACCACTTTTACTTCACTTGAAAAGCTATTCTGTACATTATGTACCTTCTAAGGAGTACCTCTTACAGTTATTTCAAACTCCCTGTCCCTGGACAAAGATAATGACTTAGTTCACTGGAAATGCTACTTTAATTTGTATGTATACATGTCTTTTTGTAATTAAATTTATAAAGCCACAACAAGAGGTTTTAATTATCCTTTTGTTTGAAATACAAATGCCTGGGTACAAAAAAGTTACAATTTTTTGTTTAAAAATAAGGACAGTATGTATCTATTTATGGATAAATAGTTATGAGTATCATATAATGTATGTTAGTTATAAATGAAATCCCAATATTGCTATTACTTGATAAGACTGGCTCTTATGATGACTCCACTTTACTAACAAACGTAGTCCAGTCTTATTAGTTTCCAGGTCACTTTTTTACACAATGCAATCAAATACAGAATTTAATATATATATTTTTTGTCTACATTAGCCAAACATTAACTATTAAGACTTCTTATGTGCATCCATTACATAAAATGAGGTCCAATTTCAGCTCATACTTACAAATAAAGATTTTCTGAATATTTTTATCACCTATGACACAGTTCAATTATGTATTTTCTTAAGTGTAACAGACATTATCATAGATTCTGTCACTCTCACCAACATATTACCTGACATTTGGCTGGACCAAAGTATTTTCCAGAATTAGTTAAATTCTCACAAAACGTAGAAAAGCTATAGTAGGGGAGGGATTGGTAATTTGTTTATTTTTGTTATAATTAAAATTTAGCTGCAGATTCCCTAGGGAGTCCAGAATCTAGTAATGAAATTTAATATCTCAAGAGGTTAAGTTCAATATATTAAAATGATTTTGGAGCCTCACCATATATTTACAGTCCATGTACCTATATTTGGTTATGCTCTATCTAACAAATGTGCATCTTTACAATAGCCTTGCAGCATAGTTTCAGTTTCCATTGTAAAAGACTCTGTTTAAGGCTGGTATGTTCAAAGTGCAAACCCTCCTCCAAGCCTGACTTCCATAATCCATCTAGTGTACAATGATGGCAGTTTCCAGTTGTCCATTCTGATCCCACAGAAATCCATACACGTTGTGCACAACAACTTGACCAATATGACTTTCTATGGAACAACAAACACGTGGATGACTTTTATCACTGATCTTTATGTCTGTAGATTCTTGTCTGTTACAAAATGCTTTGTTTACCAAAGCTGGAGTATGACTCGTTGCAGGTCTCTGGTCCCAGTTCCAATGTTGATTGCACAAAGGATATCTCTGTCCTGCAAGTTCTAACTCCCTATTTGAACACACCTTTATGATCCAAGTGTATGACTATTTTGCATCAGAAATAGCTGTTACATAGTCTTCCCAAAATTGATCAGTTTTCAGTAGTATGAAACTATCTAAAAAATGCCAAAGAATATTAAAATGTATTTTGTGATACATATTGTTTCACTGCATCTTTATATTGGCTGTCACATGACTCGCTGATTTGAATATTCAAAATCATTTCAATATAACATACTCGACATTTTAACCGTCTTTTCTTTCTAAAATTATAACCCATAACAACTTTTTTTGTGTATCGGCTTGTAACTACCGTGTGACCATGAAACTACTGAATGTAGTACCTGTATTGGAGAATACACTAGCACTCTTTATGTAGGGATGGAACAGATGCCCATATTAAAGCAGTACAAAATCATCTGGATTTTCTTCTCTACAGGTCATCAGAAGCTAGATATAAAGAGCTGCCTGGCATAGTTGCTCTATATCAAGTGTATATGCCACTCACTTTTCAGCTATCCAGAGCATCCCAATGTCGAAAACTGACGAATAGCCGAAGCAGATTTTTGTTCATCATCACCATGCTCAACAGGCATAGTACCTACCTAGTTCTAGCAAAACAGTTTTCATGATCATTGACTACCTATTTTATTATTATTCTATGCAAAAGTTAAAAAAGAAAGAAAATCATATTTAGTGTAAACAATGTTATTCCAATTAGAATTTAGCTTACAGAAATATGGTGTTCCTTTAAAAAGCTTAAGTACAGGGTGAAACATGAATTACCAGGCAATAACACAGGCCTATGAATTTAAACCTTATAAAAGTTGTTTTGTTTTAATAATGGATTTTACATTATTCAGCTATGCAGATTTCGAAAATAATATTCATTTTTTTCTAACACGTAAGGATTTTTTTTAGAAATCGGGAGGAAAAAA